AATCACAGTCAGAGAGAAGAAGAGCTGGAAGGGAACTCCACAGGTCACCTAGTCCAACCTCCAGCCTGAGGCAGGATTATCCCTATCTAAGCCTCCTGTTTCAGAAATGCCTAAAACCATGCAAAGGGAAATGGATGATGTATTTTCCAGAGGATAGTGAGACAGTTTATAGAAAGAGCCTTAGAACTTCTGCTTTACCATGTAGGTTTCCTAGTAGAATTTCCTACTACTCTTTAAAATGTTTTGTACGTGTTCTTTCTCCTTCTGATATCCATCTACCTGATAAACTGTGAGTGGTAGGGAGGGCAGGTTCAAGTGTAAAATGATTAATTTTTCTGGAAGGAATAAGTGTGTTGGAGGACAGCTCACTAATTGCATTCCTGCTGGATACTAAACCACAACTCAAAAAGAGGTAGGAGCTATGAGGATGACTGTCTCTGTCTTCTGTGATCTGGGTATGGTGGGGAACAGCAAGATGGGTGAATAAGCATATACCAAAGTATAGGTTCAATGAATGAGGAATGCACCTGAAAGCAATGCTGGTCTTGACACTTTCTGTAGCACAAGACTTGATACTTCTTGTTTCTGTTCTTGCAACCAGACTTATTGAAAGATTAACCCTTTCTCTTAAAATGATCTAAATCATAGAATTCCTGATTGTCCATTTGTGATCTGATGAAAGAAGTCTCCCTTCGGTTAACCTGTCAGACCCAAAAAGTGAATTGCTGTGACAGGTAACTGATATAGAATGAAGCAACTGAATCTCCACTTGGCACAGTGATAATGCTCTTACATGCCTGTTTATATTAAATGTGGCACCTGCACTGTCAGTCATCATTTGGATAGGGAGTTCTTCTCACAGGCCATAGTTCTATAAAAAGTGACCATACGTCTCAGTTTGGCCAGAACAGTCACCAATTTCACAGGTTGTTCTGGCTGGTTGGCTAAAATTGAAGCAAAAGTCCTGGATTGGTGGTGCCACGCCACCTGCACGTGCCCCACCTGGCTCCTCCTGGGTAGTGGCTGGATACTGGCGGGATGGGGTGTGCTGAGCACCACTCCTGTCCGGGCTGTGTATCCGCTGGGGCAGGAAGGGCCAAGAGAGGGGCCCAGGGCACCTGCACAGGGCAAGAAGGGATGGCTGCCCACTGCCATCAGCCTCATGCCCTGCTGGTGGGCATGATGGCCCTGGGCAGCTGCCATTTTTGGTAGCAAGGTGCTGTGTGTCTGCACAGCCTGGGCTGGCAGAGCTTGGTTGCCACATAGGAGATAATCCCCACCACTACTGGCAGCTGCCTGAGGCTACCACATGCAGCCTGGGGCCTCACCAACAGCTGCAGTAGCTGGGCATGAAGCTGCTGCCAGTGGGCAACTATCCTGGCTTGCCCCACACAGGTACCCAAGCCACACAGGGCCCAGAGCCTTGCTGTAGGCCTCTACGTTGTCCTGCCCCACCGTCAGGGCTCCTGGGAGCCACAGGATCGTGGTCAGGGAGTTTGTATGGGTACGTGGGTCTGTGGGTACATGCCCCGCATCCCAGATTTCCTTCAAAATAATATGGTCACTCTAGTTCTACATATGCCTAATAAACCATTCTCACAGAAGTGAGGCATAGGTGTAGAATGAAACTGTACAGAACAACCAGCTCAGAGACCTTAAGTGAACGCAGAGTTTGTTTATGTCAGGGTCTGAGACTCTTGGTGTCTAATCCACAAGAATTTTTAATTCACAGATCTTAACCATTATTGGTTACAGGTTGGTTTACAAGTCAATGTAGGTTGGTACGTGGAGGAAGATACTGCTGAAAATTTTCCTCCTGGAAGCACTACCTTTTTCTAAATGGTTCTGTTGATCTTTGGTAAAATTAAATATCATCCTGTTTATCTAATGTAGGACTGTACTTCTATTTTATTTTAGATATATATTCCCCCAAGGAGTGAAGAGTGGCATGGGAACAGTCTTATATTTGCACTAAACCTGGTGCTCAAATAGGACACCCTCTTCTATTCACTGAACTGCCCTTGGAATTGCAAAATTCTGAAGCAGGGAAGCCAGGATCTTGAGATTACTATCTGCAGCAGCACGAGCTGCTTGCAAAGATGTTCTTGCCACCATCTGCTTTTACTGCAAGTAACTTCTCCCTTACATTCCTGTGTCAACTTATCAAAAAGTCTGTAAATCTACTGTTATTGCCATAATGTTCCAGGAAATGATGAGAGGCAAAGAATTTTAGTGATATCTTTTACTGGATCTTTACTGGACCAACTGTATACTTGGGAGAGATGCTGGACAAGCTTTCAGGCATCAAGTGCCCTACCTCAGATCTCAGACTTGAGAAAGAAATCACTAAAAATCCTTGCCTCTTGTAAGTTTATTATAATTTAAGAAATGAAAATGTGAATGCAGAGCTGAATTGTAAATTTGCAGAGAAATGACTTTTATAACCAAGTAGATGTAGTAGTTTTGGCTCTCTCGGGAGAAGTCATCTTTGGTTGCATAATCCATTATTCTTGTTCAGTGCATAAGGCAGGACAGAACCAGCATTAATAAATATATTCTGCTCAGACAGATGCCACATGCTATCTTTTGTTGGGTTTCTTTGAGGCTGGAGTGAATGCTGCTGGTATGCCAAATATTCTTTACAGGTTCCAATAACCTCATTAATAAAAAAAACAAAAACATTCTTCCTAGTCAATTTACATATAATGACTGTATTTGCATGCAAGCTTAAATGCCTCTTCTGACCCAAAAACTCCATGTCTCTAGAAGAATAAGCAAGGGATCTCCCACACTGAGCTGTGAGTTTGATTAGAATAAGGGACTTCCACATCTAAATGTAGGGCAGCAGAGGTAGGAGTACTGATCTTTGCAGAAGTTGTTAGTGCCATTGAAACAGTGGCACATGTATGAGAAGAATGTTAAATCAGCTGAAATCAAGGAATAAGTTACACATACTTCTCCAAAACTAGGATGTTCTTTGGGGCAATTCATTCCCCCAGCACAGATACAGATGGTTTTGCAAAATTATCATTCTACAGATGTTAGGGTTGCTTGTGTGGCAGATGGTGCTGAGGAAGAAGTTGATTTCCATACCAAAGCATGAGAGTAATACACTGGTCTCATAAGACATAGTCTCAGTGCTGGACAACAATAATCTTTTCTCCTGATACAGTACAGATGTGCGAGTATCATGTTCCATCAGTTTCCAATTCATGCCATGGAGTCTTACTGCAGTGGGAACAAAAAGGCAATTTAGTCCCATTTTTTTTTAGCAGATGCTTTATGAAAGATCTGCTTCTGGTCTTAGAGGAGAGATTCTTCTTTCCCTCAAAAGGGTTAACAGGAATGATTGTACCAGAGTCCCACTAAGCCAGAGCCTTGAAAAATGAAGGTCTAGAACTAATAAAAGCTGAGCTAATGAGGGCAGTTCTGGACACAACTTGTGCCATCATTAGCAGGATCCACTGCTTCGCAAGAGAAGTAATATTTAAAATCCAGGAACTTAAGATGTTGCGTACTAAAGTCCTGGTACCAGGAGACGTGTCATGTACTGCCATAACAAACAGTACTTGGCAAAAGATTTCAAACACAAACGCAAAGGACCAAAGGCTAAAGGGCAGACACTTTACATGCAAAAATGGTGTGAACACATGCAATACAAACTGCAGTTTCATGGTTGTTTTCAGGGGGCTGTAGTAGGGCTGTGTGAAGCTTCGGTCACTGATTCCATTTGAAGGAGATTCGGCCCAATTTGGCAGCCGAATCTCCAAATCAAATCAGGAGACCCATTTATTTTTCTGAATTGAATCGGAAGCCTCTGATTCTATTCAGAGAGATTTGACAATTCGGCCACAGACGCAACTTTATATATGCTTTTTCTACGTACCTCGAGGTACCAGGCACAGCTCGTGAACACCGAGATGGTGGGGCAGATAGAGCATTGGAGCATCCCATGGGAGCGGGGGCAGAGGGTCTCCCCTGTGCGCACGGTGACAGACCTGGAAGTGGACCAGAAGTAATTCTGGTCCACTTTCAGGTCGGCCGCAGAATGCACAGGGGACCCTCCCCCCTGCATCCCAGCTCGGCGACTGGCGCCTCCTGGGTCTGGGCAGGCACCCAAGGTCCCCCCATGGCTGATGGGTCTCCACGCTCCCATGGGATGCTCCATCTGCCCCACCATCTCAGCGTTCATGAGCTGCACCTGGTACCTCGAGGTACGTAGAAAAAAAAAAACAACATATGCTGTCTATGGCTGAATCACTGATTCTCTAAATCAGAATCAAACTTTCAGATTCAGCCGAATTGAATTGGGACAGTAAACTGAATCAGCGAATCAAATCACTGTCCCCTGAATTGGGCTTCATCCAAATCAAATACTGCCCACACACCCATGGCTTGCAGCAGCCTGCATGCCTTCAGGGGCTGAAGCCTAGTTGCAGCTGATAAGCGATTGACAACAGGCTTGCTAGAAAGACTGGGTCAGTTGCAGGGAATAATTAGCTGGCCCTTACCAAGTTAAAGATTCCCAGGAAATTCAGTCATGAGGAGACAGAGCTGTGGGCTGGAAGCTGAGAGGTGCAAGCAAGAGCACAGTGAATGGGAGACAGCTGGCAGGTCAGCTCATGGAGGAGCCCCAAGCTCATACCAGGAGTGCCTCATTCCCATAGGAACATACATGCAGCAGAGGGACTGAGTAGAACTTCCTGTTGCTGAAGGGACCGGAGGGACAAGAGAGAGAGCAGGCAAGTTGTGGCAGAACCTAAGGACTCTCTTTGAGTCTGGGAGAAGACCCCATGTAATGTAACTGTTTGGTTTATACACTGAGTTGTTTAGGTGGACTTCTGCCAGGATGGAGTTTGCTCCTGGAGAATAAAGATACTGGGAAAGATGATAAGCAAAGATGAAAGACTGCATGTCTGAACTATGCATATCCTCGAACCTGCTACAGGTTGCCTAAAAACTGACCCATGCCTTAGGAATTAATATATTATTCTTATTACCTGGAGTAATGCATGGCTTGATGGCCTGCAATGTTAAAATAGAAGTCAGTTGTGTGCTTCATCTCATCAGTGTGTCCAGAAACTTCGATCCAGTGTGCTATTGGGAGGCAGTAAACTCCATCTACAAAGTTGCTTTCATTGTAAACGCAGCATCGGTCATGATGAGGTCCATTACCTGAAACAAAAGGAGCAATGCAGACAGCATGAGAATTAACACTGTCTTTATAGACTCAGAGAACATGTAAATGTAAAGCCTTTTGAGCCAGGACTATTGTTTGCTATTTGTCTGGACATCATTTAGCAAAATGCAATGCTTAGTACATCACTTGGTTGGCGTCTACACACTGCCAAAAAAGTGTATTCAAGAACAACTGAAAAACCACCTTGTAGAATAAATCATAAACAGTGAATAGAATTCCAAATGATTAACACTGCACTTTTTACGTTATAAAGCAGATATAAAGAAGTTAGATGTGTTTTAAAAAACAAATATTCCCATTTAAGTTCCACCTTTACTTAACTGTTAATACCCAATTTCAAGGCTCTGTATTTCCTTTGCAACATTTGAGGATTCCACTGATACTTAAGGAAGGCCTAATCTTGAACAGGAAATTTTTCTACTGTTACCAACACCAGTTCAGCTCCTATTGCAGGAGCAATGATGAGAACTCTAGTATAGATAAGGTACTAGATTCTGAGTCCAATCCTGTGCAGACCTACCTTGGGAGGTAAAGAGGAGGAGAGGAAGAAAGGTAGACATGCAGCCATGTCCATATTAGTACTCACATTACTGTGGTATAGACACAACACTGAAAAAAGCAATCTCTCTGTCCAATTTTAGACACATACATAGGTTCTAAAAATGGTGCAAGAGAAACCGCACATTAAAGTGTGGCAGAGTAAAAAAAAAAAAAAAAAACCTTCCACCTCATTTTATAAAGTTTCTAGCTGTCATTTTAAAACCAGATTGAGAAGGCTAAATTATGCTTCCTTCTACTGCTAAAAAACAGAGATGGCCAAAAACATTTGTAACTCTGTCTCTACAAAATGTTAACAGAGTTCAACAAAATCTACATTTCTAGAACATAAGGACACAGACTGGGTAACTCTGTCATCAGTACTGGCTGCCTAAAAAGCTGGTTGGGCATAAAAAAAAAAAACCAGTATGGTAGCTCAGGGGAGAACAGAAGATGCATTAGTAACCCACAGGTAACAAAGTGCACTCTCCACAGAACCCAGACCACACAGCAACTTATTTAGAGGTGTTAATGCCTCCAATGGCTGTTCCTAAGGTAGCACACCTTGCCTTAGCCTCACAGCTGGACTCCTCGTCTGATCATTATATGGGACCTCAATTAAAGGGCATACATTTTCCTCCAAGAAAGCCATCTTTAAGCTGCACATAAAATATGTGGTTCAATGAATAACCAAACCAATAGCCCTGCTCTCTCATAAATGCAATAATATGCAATAAAATAGTTCTAAAAATATACAAATGCAAACTCATTTTTATTTACTTTCCTCTTTTTTTGGTCTTGAATAATGTTTAATCTATCATTAAAACTTCTGAAAATTGATTTTTCTTATCAGAACTATTCTCTTCAAATGTTCAGCTAACAAAAGAAGAAAACATTCTGAGATTTGTATGCGTGTTTTCCAATATTAGAGAATTAGTATGGAGCAAAAGAAAGTCCTAAAGAAGATAATGATTTGTATTTTGCCACTTATTTGACAATCTAACAAAAACACTATTTTGCAACGGTCTAATAAATGGACAGTCTTACTGCAGGGAAACTGTATTTGTAAAGTATAATTTATAGGGACAAAATAAAAAGAAATATTTCAGTAGACTCCCTGAGGTTGTTAAAATAGACTGAATAACATAGGGGTCCTAAAAGGTAATAGTTTTATAATGGCTGCTTGTATAGAAAGATAATGAGCACACTGCTTTCAAAGCACTAGTACCTAGCAAGTAACTGTGTTTTAATCCATCATAGGGAATGAATATATTAATAATAAAAAAAAGAGTTCTAGTAGCTCCACCTTGGAGAGTGCAAGTGGCAGATGCAGCATGGAGGAAGAAAGAGATGTATGAGAGAAAGACTGATTAGGAAAATTAGAAGGATATTAGAGATGAAACAAGGCTTCTGACTTTATTTTATTACATTTCTAATACATGAATGATTGATAAAATATCCCTTCTTTATACCTTCTTTGCCTTGATCTGAAATCTACATTTGGGTAGGTAGCTTCAATGTGTCCTAGAAAGGAAATATGAGCAGAGGACAAGAGCATTAAATAGATTCCCTTTATCAAAATGAGAGAGAGTCTGTTTTAATCATAGGCAGTTTCAAGACCACTAGTGCATTCATCTTGCATAGAGATCTCATTTCAAACTCTTTTTATTTGGGTTGAATTGGGTCATGTTTGTGATGAAAAGGTTTTTCAAACACAAAAAAAATCATGTGACTATATATGCTTATTTGTCATGTTCATTCTCTTTTTATTTTTAAACAGTGTAATACTCAAAGCCATGTAGGAATTATGGCAGATTAGAAGTAATCCAGTGTATAGTCTGGTTTTAATATAAACCTGTTACAGTTTTATTTTCTTAATGGTGTCAGAACACTTCTAAGTAAAAAATACACCTGAAGGACTAGCAACTCAAGGTGCAGCTCATCTATGACCCCACTTCCAAGCACCACACTAAAGGAAACTTCTTAGTCTATTAGCATTGTAGGAAAAATACTAAAGCAAATGGTTAGATAGCCAAGCATTTTAATAGTACAGCTCAACTGTGAACAGCACTTTTATGCTGCTGTTTTTAAACATAAAACAAGGAACACAAACATTCAACATGAGAAACTACTTTTCCTCTTGCCTGCTTCTGAAACATATTCCATACCCAATGATATGATATAATTTCCATTAAAATAAAGGTAATCAAGACCAGTTTAGAGCTATGCATCTTATACATTTTTATTGAATATGTTTCATTGTATGTGCTTTTTTCTTACCACTTTAAATAGCATTTCAAGACAGCAGAGCACATCAATAAGTACTATTAGTGGGGAAATACTATGAAAGTTTATGAACGCTTAAAGCACACACCAACTGATCCGGGATTCTGGTTTTCTTTGTTTAAAAAAAAATCATAAATTCTCTGATTTAAAACCCCACATTTTTCCACAATTAAAATGAAACACCACTGTGTATATAGGTATCGGTTGAACACAATATTTTATGTCCTTCATTCCCCACCCACAGCCCCCTGTCCTCTCCAGCCCTGCTGGAGGGGGTCCCCCACTGCCAAGGCTACAGGGCCAGGTACCCAGGTCCAGAGCCCCCTCCCCACCACAGCAGTACCTGAGCCCTGGCTGGTGGCCATGAAAGACAGCAGCTGCTTTAGCTGAGTAGTGTGTGAAGCCCAGTTCCCCCTCCTCAATGGGTGGCACGGCCGTAGCAGAGCCTGTGGGTGACGGAGCAGGTGCAGGCTGCCCACAGTGCGCTCTATCTATCTATAGATACACTCCCAAACATGCCTTTCAATTTTTAAAACCATTTCAGTAAATGGAACTCTATTGTTTAGCTTCTGTCACATTTCTAAGTCCTTTTTCTTACCTTTTATTCCTTTTCCTTCCTCATCCTATCTCCCTATATCATATGATTATTCCCTCTCCTCTCTCCTGCTCCCAATCCACTCTACAATCTTATCTCTTCCCTCATATTAGCACGGGCACACCTCTCTCTTCTCTTCCTTGTGAACCATCACCACAACTCTTCCTCTTCGTTTGCCTCTGACAATTTCTGTCTAAACCCTGGCCTTTCCACTCTCCCAAGTCCCTCTCCTGCTCCTTCCTTTAACTGCTTGGCTCACCAAACTATTACTCAGATTCTTTTGCTCTGCTCCGCTCTAGAACACCTGATTTAAGTTAGAAAAACATCGGATTTATGTTCTAATTTCTTGTGTTCTTCCACTGAAACCTGACCTCCCCTCTCCCTGCAAGCATTAACCAAAGGCAGTCTTCTCTTTTTCCTTTGACCCCCTAGCTTGGTATACTCGCAACAACCTTTTCCTCTCCCATGTCTGTCTACCTCCTCTCTCTCTTCTATTATTCCCTTGAGGTACATGTCACCATTTCCTTTCTCTTTGGCTTTGAATCCTGGTCCTTTTACTTTCCCTCAAATTCACAACCTTGATTCCTAATGGCATAAGCCTCCTTACTAAAGATCTGTCTGACTTTACCATCGTTCAGATCCTTTTCTGTGTTTCCCACATCACTGGATATATCAAAAACAGATTAAAAGTCTGTCAAAACCTATGTGACACACAGGGCTCATATAGTTAAGACACCATCAATATATGTGGCTACTGGTACATAAGGGAGTAATGTGGTTTACCATCACATCCAGCCACTTTTGATGTCCCAGTTCAAAATCAAAGCACCCATTTATAGCAGAGCTGAGCGGGGGGGTGAGCTGGAGGCGCCAGCCTTTGGTACAAGGCTCAGTCTCACACCTTAACCATTCTGCCATTATGTTCCTGTTCAGTCTATAACCACAAAAACATTCCCTTTGTCTTTCAACTTAAGGCTAAATCCTATTTCACCTTTATGTACCTAAGTGGTATGTACACACTCACAGGGCACATCTATGGGAGATGTTTACTGTGCAGATGACTAACTAGCTGCACAGTAAATGTTGTGTGTCTACATGTGTGCCTGGAGTCAACTCATTTACTATGCAGCAGGATAGTACATGTATTTACAGCGTTTACAAGTTCCCATTGTGGAGTAAAAAATTCCACAGCAGCACACATGTAGATGCTGTCCCAGCTGGCTGAGGCGCGAGGGTGCTTCAGTGCAGGGCTGTCTGCTGGCTAGCCCCACACTGAAGCACCCTCATGCCCCAGCCAGCCCCTCCTGTGGCACGCTGAGCCAGGTCAGAGCAGCCCTGGGCTGTCAGGCTGATCCCCAGAACACCCTGCCAGCCAGGGCTGCTTTGACCTGAATCAATGTACTGCACTCCCAGGCACACATGCAGATGCACACCTGGGAGCAATAAACTCTGGACCTCTGCAATAAGCTCCAGAGTTTATTCATGCACATTAATTACACATGTAGATGCACCAACAGAAATCCAATTTTTGCCACTTACTCACAGTTTCGATTCTAT